GATTCTCATTTGAACTCATTCCACAAAAAATTAAGGCGGTTTTCGCACGGTCGATTGTGCAAGAACGACCCCCGTCGCTCGAGTTTTCCGGCGGATCGACACTCGGATCGATCCGCCGGAGAGACGTCGACTTCCGGATCCAGGATATTATTTGGAGAAATGGGAACAGCGAGCAGAAGTTAACCAGAGCACGACCTGCGCTTTCCCCGGGAGAGTTCCAGGAATCTCGTTCATCCCCTGAGGAAGGGAACGTGTCAACACGATCTTCTTCCCGCTTGGGATGAATCTCACTTTTCCCTTTCCGGAGTTCCTCGGCTTTGTGTTTTTAAAATTGGATTTGCAAATTTCATGTGCGCATTTTCCGAGTTCAATTAGCGGGATGTTCTATGGTGGGACTTCCGTTCGAGAGGCTTCGCTTTGCCGCCATATTGGACGAATTTAAAATACGGAACATAGTCTAGAACAAATTGATCTGGTTCGTGATTGCCGCAAAAATATTTTTTGGAGTTCTTTGAGCGGTGGAAGGAGTGTCGAGGATACCAGAAAGAAGGTGAAAGGAAATGGAGGGAAGACAGAGAGCAGTGCGAGGGCGGTGAGGGGTAATGGAATGAAGGTGGGAGGTAGTGGAAGGAATGGGGGGGGGGGAACAGTGGCGTATTTTGGCTGAGGGGGCAGGGGGGGCAGGGCAACAGCATGGGGGCGCCATACCCTCCCTAGCGATATCAGGTGAGGAAATCACGAGGGGCGTACCAAAAGTATCGAGACTTTGGCTATAATTTTCTTAATGTGTTTGCCACGAAAATCGAATTCAGTTTCCTTCAATGCGTAACAAATACGCAATGCACACTCAGAAGTACAAGTTGCTCTCTCTTATGGTTAAGAAAATACAGGCAGTGCAAGGAACACATGCACCAGAAATTCCAGACGCGACAACACTTACAGTCATCTTGTGGATCATCATGAACCTTCTCCACTAGGTCCCCTTTGATTGAACTGATGATGCTTGAACATCGGATTGATTACCTGAACCACCCCAGGCAAAAAAATTTTATCGACTCTCTAAAGGAAAAATTCTATAAGGTCCTATATAATTCTATTATTTCCCTCTAAAGAATTCTATTAAATCGCAGTATGGAAATTCTATGGAGATTCTATAGAAATCCTATCAAAAATCAAATTTCTAGAGGATTCCACGAAGACACCGTAAATAAATTCTACAGAATTTCTATAGGGCTGTATGCATTTTTTTTGTGTCACTGTCTAGAAAGTGTAAAGAATTTATATTGCATTTCATGAACTTCTGTAGTCAGCATATAAAAAATCTACTGAAATCCTCTCAAATGTCTTTGAAAAAGGTAGATGCAAATTGAGTTCTCAAAGGAAAAGAGAAAGAATTAAAGGTAGTCTTTTTTCTTCGACATCAGCTCGTAGGAATGTCATTTATAATTTTTATAGAACGTGAAGAGCCTTTCATAAGGCTCTTATCCGATTAATTTATGATGAACTTGTGAAAGCATTGGCATATGGTGGTGGTGGGATGTGACATAGGTCGTGCGAACTGCGAAATCATGGGGATCATGCATCGGAGAGTCGTTCCATCTCGAGTGGTGCAATTTTAAAGATCTGCGCCAACAGAGATAAGGCTGTCAAATAAAAATGAACTTTAGAATACGGGAAACCGGACGAACCAAAACGCCTCTCTCTGGCCTCCCACCTGGGAGCCCAGAGCCTCGAGTCCTCCCCTGGCTCTTAGGCGATGGATAAGGGACGTCGCATAATGCACGCAATGCAGAAGTATACGTACGAGAGCAGGGAGGCCGGCCTCGCCGGTTCCATCGCGCACGAATGGGTGAGTGCTAACAAGTACACCGTCTTGTCTAGGTTCCTTTGCCGAAATTAGAAAGCTGCTCGGTCATCCTAATCCGCATTTCCAACATGTACCTATGTAGTTTTCCACGAATGAAAAAGACAGTATATATAGTCTTCGTCATCGCTATACGTAGATGAGCTAGATGAGTTTTTTTTTTATGAGGAGAAGTACCGAAACTCGCAAGGGATGTAAGTCGTGGAACCGATAATTTTCTCCTTAAATCGGACCGGATGCACCTTGATACACTTGAAGAGCAGCTTCAAGTGTTCCAAGGATCTTCGAATTCCGCTCTCCTTTTTCATGTTTTCGATTCCATATACCGGGTAAACTCCCAACACGGAACGTTCAGTCTTTTATAGCAACTACCTGCCACTTGAAGCAGTGCAGGCGACAAGAATGACCTAAGCACACCATTCGTGCTTCATGCTCCCATTGTTTTAACAATGATTTCTTGTTGATTGTGACGGCGTGCTGGCCACCCCAGATTTTCGTCCATTCGCCGCCACTGTTTACCCACGCGATGGTATCCTTCCCGCTTGCGCGGTTTCTAGCCCCTATATCTTACTATACTAATCTGTATACAGTCCTATCCAGATGCAATGAGTGGTTTATTGAATTCTTTAAAACTGCATTAAAAACTCTATAGAAGTCTAGAGGTCTCTCTACAACATTTTAGCCTGGGACTGTGGTTCAGGACGTCAGTCCGCAAGTGTGAATCGCGGTGGCAGAAATGCGTCGACCTCAAAGGGGACCTAGTGGAGAAGGTTCAAGTGATCCACAAGATGACTGTAAGTGTTGTTGGGTCTGGAATTTCTGATGAATGTGTTCCTTGCACTGCCTGTATTTTCTTAATCATAAGTGAGAGCAACTCGTACTTCTGAGTGTGCATTGCGTATTTGTTACACATTGAAGGAAACTGGATTCGATTTTCGTGGCAAACACATTAAGAAAATTATAACCAGAGTCTCGATACTTTTGGAACGCCCTTCGTATTACCTCCAAGGGGGCGCCAAGCCCTGTCCCAGGGGTGCCAGGGAGGACGGCTGCCCCCTCTGCCCCCCGTAAAATACGCCACTGGGGGGGGAGTGGAAGGAAGGTGGGGTGTAAATGAGGGTGGAGGGTAGCACGGGGCAAGGGCAAGGGGAGATGCGGGAGAACCCGCAACCCCAAGTCCATTCGTTGTCAGCCCGAGTAACCTAATCCCGATGTTTGGGAGTCGAATGTTTTAAGCCAAAAATTCAAAATAAGGTCTTATTTTTATGTCTCCAAAGCGAACTCAATCTTTCATCTTCCCATTAGCTTCTTTTGGGAAAATTATCACACGGTGGAATTGAAATTTTTATTGTTGTCGGCAGATTTGAACAACGAAAAAAAAAGGTTTCCCGACAGTCTGGCAGAGAGACGTAGAGCAGTTGTTCTCAACCGGTGGGTCATGTGACCCACAAGTGGGTCGCGATGGTCTTCCAGGCGGGTCGCAAGCGAACATAACGAACTCACTGTAGAAGATAGGAAGATATTAGAGAAGATAGAGATCAAACATGAGCACCAAGCTAAAGGGCAACATTAAAGGGCAACCTTTCCAGGAACGATCTAATCTACTAACCCAGATGATTAGAAGGCCTGCTGGCAAACAATTCCAAGAAAGGGTAAACAGCATTTTTTAAATTATCTTTTTTCCTTTTAAGTTAGGGGTGACACTGTTTTTTTCTGACAGTAGCCGAAGTTTATTTCCTCTATTTCGTTTCTCTGCTGCCTCAACTGATATACAAGGTATTTACTTCTATTTTTTATGTATTATTATTTTTTTTTCTGGGGGGGGGGGGAAGGTTCACCTCTTACACGATTTTCTGTAGCCACTTATTTTTGGTTTAACAAATGGATCGTTTCCTGGTAAATCACTGATGCTAGTGGCACCGACCCTGGTGGAGTCGCCGGGACAGAAATCGGCTTTCCTCCAGCAAAAATAAGAAGTGAAAAATGGTACCGACTCGAAAGCATGATGGTTCTTTCCTAGGTTTCGCAGAAAACATGAAGCCAGAATGCTTTCGGCGATGCCCGGTCGAGTTCTTTCAGAGGAAGCAATACGTATTTAATTCAATTTTTTTTTTCGAGTCACACGGCTGCAGTATTTCTAGACGTTTCCAAATTTGTGACTCGCATGAACATGGGAAGAAAGCTCATTGGGTATTGCATAATAAAGGTTGAGAACCACTGATATAGAGGAAAGACATTGTGTCTATGTCGTATGTGCCTATGTAGTATGTGTCTATGTCGTATGTATGGCGTGGAATGGACTTGCATCTTTTTTCACACGTGCCCCAATGGGATTGACATCGAATTCGCCCAATGAGTTCTCCTGGGGAACCCATGATCAAGTTAAAACCACTAAACTTATTTGGACTTGATGCACTTCGCTCAATGTCTGCATCTCAATTTTCATTCCGTCAAATTTTATTTGACGGAAAAAAAATGCAATGGGCCGAACGAGAAATCTTCTAAAGGCGCTTCGTCAAGCGATTTTTTTCTGCAGTCGCGTTTCCCGTGCAATCGCAGGTCATCGTACGAAGGCTCGATTGATTCGATTGATTCGCTCATTGATTAATTCGATGAAAGATTAATTGGATCATGGACGCCCCGCGTGACAATGTTCTTGCTCCACGCTTCAATTCCCTCCCAAATTGCAACCTGAGATCAGCGGTTCGTCGAAAATCAGCGGTTCGTCGCAGCCTGTAACGGGAATCGAATTCCTGTCCGGGTTTCAAGCCACTTTCCAAGCCGGTTTTGTCATAGAAAATCTCCATATCCGTATAATTGCGGTGTAAAAATAGCGAAATTTGCAATTCATGTTGAACTTAATGACTTGAGATCCCAGGAAGCTGAGCCGGATGAACATGATGAGCCCTGCATCTCGGGTCACACTCCTTCCCACACATTTTCCATTTCATTTATTATTTATTATTTAATCAATCCATTTTATTTTCACATGGCCCCTGTCTTTGGGGAAGAAAGAGGCCAGATTCATTTGTAGTCAGGTGACAAATAGACCTTTGGATGAAAGGACCTTGATGCATCGAAGGCATCATGGCCTTGACCCTTGCCCTTCATTCGACGATTCCCGGAAGCAGGTTCTTCATCTAATTTCCACAGTCGCCCGACTTCCCCGAGTCCATTCCTCGTCAGAGAGGGCATCCGCCCGACTTCCCCGAGTCCATTCCTCGTCAGAGAGGGCATCTGCCCGACTTCCTCCTCTGTCGAAGGAACCGGTCGCATCGACGGCAGCAAGTCTTCCTCCGAACCGGATGCCGGGGTGCACCGAACTCACTCGGAAAATTACAATATGAAATATGAACAATATGAAAAAGGAAATTTAATCCCCCCTCTTCAGTGCAAGTTTATCAAACCGATCGATAAGTGTCGAGGACAGCTCCCTAAACCCCCCTGCTTCCCCAAGGCAACCCAGAAAGGCCGCTGATGGCGATGAGAAGACACTCAGAAATGCTGCTGGTCCTGCTGTGAGTCAAGCTGTCGCGAAAGAAGCTCTGCCGAAATTTTTAAATTTCATCGGTCTATTCTTTCAGGTTTTCCCAAGATTTCTCACTAATGGGGTTTATTATTTATTTATTTTTCAGAATATTTTGACAAACTTTCGAATTATTTATTCTATTAAGTGCGGATATCTCCCTAGTGCTTGATCGATTAAGAGGAAACGAAGCCAATCTATTGCAACGAAAAGGAAAAAGTCGAAACAAAGGAAAATTGGAGTCAGTTTCTTCGTTCTCGCAGCTGTCTTGCGCGAATTGTCACACATGAGCAACAAGTAGCGAAATGACAGCACTCACTGGCCACACGGTCTCTTGCGTTTTATTGCTGCATGGTAATGCTGAGGCATGAAAATTCTCAAAATCGGTTTTTGTTTCCCATTGCATGAAAATCTCATTGAAAGTTTCAGCTGAACCAACATTACGCTTTTCTAAAAAAAATCATTAGGGGACGGGAAGGGCTATTTTGATGACCGCCTTGGTCTTAGAAAGCAAAACTTGAAATTAAAAAATTACTCGCATTTAATTGAAAAATAATATGTTGCCGTGCTTCGTCCAACTCCAATTCCCGTTTGACTCCAAGCCACGTCAAAGGATGTTGAGCATGCGGTAGAACTGGGTGAGAGTGTCCTCGCGGTCGGGCCCCGCTCTCGGCTGCGGCTGCTGCTGCTGCTGCAGCTGCTGCAGCTCCGAACGGTGCCGGGCGGTCTGGCGGGGCTGGTCCGGCAACGGCTGCTGGAGGCGGTTCGTCACCAGGACCCAGTTGTAGCGCTTGGATAAGCCGCCGACCAAGTCCGTAGGGAAGGCCAGGGAGGAGGAGGTCAGCAGCAGCAGCAGGGAGGCGGAGGTTAGCAGCAGCAGGAATGCGCTCCTCGGGGGCAGCACTGTAAGCACAAGTGGATTCATTCATGCTTTGTCTCTTTCATTCATATCCAGTCGACTTTCGGATAAATACGCGAATTATCGCTTTATTCATGAATGGTTCTCGATTTATTAACCCCCGGAGTCACATGCTATTCCTATTTGCTTTTGCACCTATTGCGAATTTCTAACTCGGAACGCTTGGTCATGGGAGATTACCTGTTGCAAGGGATATAACGGGATCAGTCTACCAGCAGTTAATCCCGATGATATATTGGGTGATATCCGAAATATTCCCAGGCAACAAGGAATGTCGATTGTCAGTGTGTGTATGTCGTTCCCTGTCAGTATTTTTTTTTTATTGAGTGACCTTTCCAGACATAAATAAACTTCGATATCATATCATCTCAATGTTAATACCAGGACTGAGATTAAATGTTTTCTCAATCCATAGCTGGGGGGGGGGGGCTCATTGATCGACGTTCGATTGACCTCATTCCACCAATCCATGCTGACCTTCGGGCGATTCACCTTTCCTTTTCCGACTCTCCTTTTCTGTCGAATGCCAAAAACTCTGATATTCAGAAAAAATTTTACATTTCCTAGAATTGACTGGAAATGACAAGCTGTCGAATGATTAACATGGAACGAGGGACGATCAGCTGTGGGATGAGCAAATTAAATCAAATCGAAGTTGTGAAGTTACAAATAAAATAAATAAGAATATACAAATAAATAACGAAGTCATCAAGTTAAGTATGATATCAAATCGGATACAATCTGTCGAGGGAAGGAATTTAATTAATTCCTAGAATGAACGTGGGCGTTGACCAGGATATGGAGCTTTCCTTATTTTCCTTTCGTTTTGCACTCTTCGCGTGAGAGGGTGATTTCCATTAAGGCTGAGCCTCCCTGAGGGGTGGATTCCATCATCTCTTTGAGGACTTGGATTCTCTAGCATCCGAGTTTATTGAGATATATTTCGTGGTTGGAGTGAGGTGCTCCGGCTAGAGGGGGAAGAGAGGGGGGAACTTCTGGGAATTGTTGTTATGTGCTTTCTCATTTCCGGGGGAGGAATTCCTTGTCCGTCTTCTTGGTATCCGCCTGGCATCGACTTTCATTTTTCAATATGGATCGAGAAATTAGCTTCAATTTGCCCTTAATCGCGCTGGGAAATCGAAAAAGGATATTTGTGATCACCAAGAGTTGTCAGCACAAGTGGGTGGAAGGGGGTGAGGGGAATGCGAGGCTGCTCACGTCTATTGCATGTCTTCTCGTCATTTTGAAAACATCTCCTTTGCAAATCAGAAAATTTGAAACTATATTTTAACCCTTTCGGTACTGAGTTAAATCGTTGCGCTCTCCCTCCCGGACGGAGTTTTAGGCCTGGAGGTGAGTTTATCCTGAACGTAACTGTCACGTTCGTCGTACTGAAAGGGTTAATGAATCCTCGGAATGGTCCAAATCTCAACATTTTCGTCCCAAAAGTAACGGCAATCTCCAAGACTATGAAAATGGGGAGACGGAACGCATGAGACTCAAACCACACCACTTCACCCTAATTGCTATCCATTGAAGCAACGAACCTAATTTCAGCGCGCCTCCTTCCAGAGCGCGTGCATCCCAGGCGGAACCGTGCGAGATGGGTAGCACGGTCCTCCCCTAGCGAAAGCGTGGGCGATGGTGCGCCTTCCGTCAAGCCTTCTCCGCCTTCCGTCCTCCGCCCGGTTTAACGAGTGAAGTTTATTGGAGATGTTTGTGGCCTTTTCGAGGAGAAGTAATGTACTTGGCATTGTAAGCCATGAATAAAATTTCTCTAAATTTATTTAAGGGAATCTCACTTTCTTTTTTTTTTATAGAAAGGAGGCTCCTCGAATTAAAATTTAAAAAAATCCACACATTCTCTTGATATCTCCAAGAACAAGTCACAGGGAGAATGTTCCCATGAAACAGTTTTTCCTTTAAATGACTAGATTGAGGGAGCCCTGAAATCGCTGATCAACTCAGGAGGCATCCTCGAAAGAACAACCGCTTTTAAATCTTGTAGGTGAATCTGAAGGCAATGGACTGCATTCCCAATGCTATTCGTTACGTTGCCCTTGAGGTGCTGTTAAGGTGCCGTTAAGGTGCTCTCAAGGTGCTGAGAAGGAGCTTTCAAATCCACCGCGAGGCATACTCTCTTTGGCATCACGCTGGACGTCGGACGACCAAGGAAAAGTTTCCGAGAATCGATTGAATACTTATCTCCTTTTTCGTGTTTGAAGTTAGTCCTTTAAAATCGATTTTGCCCTGAAAACGGTTCGGAGCGCAAAAGCATCAGTATTTTCGAGAATGAATGCCCACTTCCAGGGGGAACGACCGAGAGAGAGTCTAATTTTCACGCGAATCCTTAAACCAACAATCGAGATCCTGAAAACCGGATTAAATATCCTATGGTCCTTAATCCTATGGTCCTTAAACTTATGATCCACCTTAACTTATGATCATGCAAATCATTTTGAGAGCGGAAGAAAGAGACTTACTTTTGATGTCAAAATCAGCGACGATGAGAATCTGCAGCGGAAAGGGACGTGAACGAAGGGAACGGAATGCGACGGGATGCGACGAGATGCGACAGAATGCGACGAGAAGCGACAATCGCCCTTGTACTGCATGCGATCCAGGACGCCGATCCGCGGCGCCTGCGCCCTCCCTCCCTCCCCCCCCCCCCCCCCCCCTCCCTCCCCCCACCCCCCCCCACACACATCCGGGGAAGGATTCCATCCGGTCCCGCCAAGAGAGGAACTCGACTAGCCCTATGGGGAATCGCCGAGGATGATCGAGGCAGTGCACCTACTGGGAGAAATTGGCCAGACTTCCGCTTAAAATTCGGACAAGTGACAATTCTGTACGATGGGCCATAGCCAAAAACTTATATCTGGAAGCTCTTCCTTTTTTTTGCTGCTCTTTTTTGTCTTGTCTACTCCTCAGCTAATTTTCTATAATTTGCTCTTTATTTGTCATGACATAATTTGCTCATAATTCGCAGCTTGGTGGAAATATTTTCGAACTCGATGCGCGGAATAATTAACTGCGTCATTTTGTCCAATCGCTTTGTCATAAATTCCGCATTCAATTGCGAATTCATTTGGCATAAAATATCGCATTTAATATCATACTCTCCCATATTCTGATCCGATCGATGATCCATCCGAAAATAAATGGAGATCTGACATGAAGTCATGCAAGCCTCCTGCATCTCATTTGGCGGAGGAAAAGCAATATTCCGGCCCTGAAGCGAGAAATAATAGGAAATTTTTGACGTGGGAGGGTTACGGAGACAACATTGCAATTTATCACCAAGGGGAACGATGACGAACGACGCAGACTTTTTTTTAAATATTGTTAAAGGGATGGCATATCGGTGAGTAAATTCCTGTTTCTCTCGCTCGATGGCGCCACTGTTCCTGATGAGGCGGAAGTGCCGGTCCTTCCCTGAGAAATGGGGAGATCCAGGGAATCTGCCAACTCGGGTTTTCTTTCCGGATAGAGCCAACATGTTAGGAATGTCTTTTAGAAATGTCCTTTGAATATGCCCTTCACACTTTTTTTTAGTCGTGAAGGGACTGGCTAAATTGATTTTAATCGCGCTGTATTTTTGGAAAGAAGACAAACACCAAAAACTAAAATTTGAGTTTTGTAAAAGTTGAGCTGAAAACGATTTTGGAGCTTCTGCAGAAAAAAAAACTTAAGCAGAAACTTAAGCATCGCATTTTGGCTGCAAAGAATTGGCAAGCACTAAAGTGCGAATTGCAGTTTTCCCCTTCACTTCTTCTTCTGGATGATGATATCGCCTTAATTTCCCATCAGTTGCAGTAAAATTAGCATGCGACCAACTTGAGTCAAAACCAGAAATATTAAAGTGTGCTGTATAAGCGTGAAAGTAAAATGTAGGATTGCTAATAATGTCGGAGCTGTAGCTGAGCGGGTCAAATTAAACGGTGATTCTACGTGCCAAAATGTCATTTGAAATGCTTTAAAATGGTATTCCAATGGGTTAGAGGGAAGATCGGACCTGGCGCGTTGCATTTTCAGACGCAAGATGTCATCATTTTGGCGAAATCGCGAAATGAAAAATGTGCAAATTAGCGCGAAATATTATCGTGCTGAATGCTGATTTCCCTGATTCTGAGTTTCTGCAGTCCAAAATGCACTTGTATGAAGCGTGACTGCTGGAATGTCGCCAGCCAATGAGCTGTTATCAATTAGGCCAATCGGCTGCAAGAAATTAGAGTGTGTTTGGAAAATTGGCCGTCCCCCTTTCTTTTAAATTAAAAAATTTTAAAGAATATTTTAGGTTCAAGAAAATTCCTACTCCCTTTTTAAAATAAATTTATTTTACAAAAGAAAGGACAAGACCTGATGAACTTGCTTTATAAGGGTCAATCTGAGAAGGAAAAAAAAGTTTAAAAGGGAGACGAAATGTGACCGAGAAGGAGGTTCTCTACCATCGCAGCAAGAGTTCATAAGTACGACTCATGAGCTAGAGAGGGAAAAACAGAAGTCCCAGAGTCTCGACTTCGGGAGTCCCCCTTCCCCCTTCACCCCTTTCCCTTGCCCCCTCCCCCCTCCTCTCCCCAGTCCGTCAGTCTAGTCCTTGCAGTTTTTCTCGAAAAAGGATTAACTTGTTCAGTGCTGCTGGACGTTGCATAAGCATAGAACCGATTCTACAGAATTAGTCTATAGAGTCTAAACGGAGTCCGCGTCTCATCCCTCCTCATCCCGCCTCATCCCACCTCATCCTTGGACCGCCAACGGAAATCATCCGTCGTGCCGCCCGCCAAGGTATCGAACGAACAGCAGGCGAGATCTTTTATTCATCTCTGAGAGCTTTCTGGTGTCTCCACCCACATCCCAATGATGGATCGGATCCAGATGTCCCAAAGTGCCGCATCATCTCTACAGAAAAGTCCCAGAAGTGCTCACGAAATAGCGACGGAACGCTCCCCCTGGAAGCATCCCTAGGTGTCCCCTGGAAGCATCCCTAGGTGTCCCCTGGAAGCAATCCGAGGCTTCCTCACAAAGCGATCCGAGATGTTCACTGGAAGCAACCCCGTGTCCCCTGAAATGACGTTCGTTGATGCAACCGGCCATCGATCATCGCATCTCCCTGGGGAGATCCAAAAAAACTAAAAATACAGAAAACGGCCTCTCGTATTCGTGCTCGGTGATGGCCTCCACGCTCCATCGACAGATGAAGCGTGCAGTTCCAGTTCGCAGCTCGGTTTGCGGCTCTCAACTCCCGGGACTGAAAGGATACCGTGCCCCTCCATCAATTCAATTCATCAATTCAATCCATCATTCATCGCATGACGTCATGGAATTTTCCTCGCACTTCGCTCCACCGAATCGAAGCGCTGCTTCATATTTTCTGCTCTCGACTCATCCGGACTCGCAGGCTTCTGATGCCATCCCCCGTCGACGACCGCGTCTTCTGCCCGCACGAGCGTAATGCGCA